CCACTGTGCTACACCGGGAGCCTGGATTCGAATCTCGGCCAGCCAGCACTAGTCTGCGCTCTCACCCACTGTGCTAAATTGCCTGTTCTCAAAGGAACGATACAACACGCACACTCAACGGTCTGCTACCCACAGATCCATCTGAATGTGCCCTCGGCATCCACGTTATAGTTTGCCTTAAAAGTGAAATCTCATTATTATGTAGTCCACTTAGTACTTCTATAGCTAATGTTATTTGCACAGGCTTCTTAACTCCTATAGCATCAGGGAATTTTATCTATAAATCACATTTTTAATTAGTGCTCTCTAACTGGCTTCGGGTCTTATTTCCCCAACAAGATTATCAACTTGAGGAGAAGGGTTACATCACATATTTACTGTGTATTCCCCATATTATCTAGCACAAGGCCAGGAATATGGAAAGTCCATGAGCACCCCTGTTCACTCCCTCTCCACACACACACACACACACACACACACACACACACTCAATGGCTATGAAGCTGGAAAAGTTGGATCAAGAATTTAAACATAATAAAATGTACTTAAGGAGATATGGCAACATGAAGCAAGAAATCATATAGAAAATGAGAAAATATTAGGCATAAAATATAATGCAGAAAGGTAACAGCTACTGCAGATAAAAATTTAGTGAGCTGGAAGATCAGATTGACAATTTATTTCAGAATTTAGGAAGAAAAAATATATATTTAGAGAAATAGAGCTACAGAAAATATAAAAGAAATGGAGAGCTATGTAGAAGTTACAATATTTGGAAAATGGAAAGGAGGAATACTTGAAGATTATGGATAAAAATAAACTTGAATTTAAAGAAAGATGAAATAATCATTGAATAAAATGGTTTATAGAGTGCCAACAACGGGAGATAAGGAAACCCCATATTTAGATACAACAACAACAAAAAAAACCCATCACTGTCGAGTCGATTCCAACTCATAGTGATCCTATAGGACAGAGTAGATACAATTGCCCCATGGGGTTTCCAAGTTTCCAAAGAGTGGCTGGTAGATTCGAATAGCTGACCTTTTGGTTAGCAGCCGAGCTCTACACGGTAAAATTTAAGGAGTTGCAAAAGTTCCTTATATATTATGGATACAAGTTCCTTATGATACACATGATTTTCAAATATTTTCTCTCATTCTGTAGGTTATCTTCTCACTTTCTTGATGGCATCATTTACAGCATAAAAGCTTTTAATTCTTAGTCTGGTTTTTATATTTTATCTGTTTTTCTGGAGTTGCATCTAAAGAAACTACACAACCCAAAGTAATGGAGGTTTATGCCAATGTTTTCTTCGAAAGATTTTATAGTTCTTATGTATATGTAGATGATATATTTTCAGTTAATTTTTGTGCGTAGTGTGAGGTAGGGGTTCAACTTAATTCTTTTCCATGTGAAGATCCAGTTGTCCCAGAACCATTTATTGAAAAAGTTATTCTTTTTCCAATTGTCTTGGCACCGGTGTTAAGATCAATTGATAATAAATGTAAAAGTCTATTTCTGGAATCTAAATTCTATCTGATTTATCTAGATGTCTATCGTTAAGACAGTATCATACCGTCTTGACTAATATAGATTTGTAGAAAGTTCTGAAATTCAGCGGTGTGAGTGCTCCAGCTCTGGTCTCCTTTTTAAAGATTGTTTTGACTACTCTAAATTTCTCGTATTTCCATAATTTTAAGATTAGCTTGTCAATTTCTGCAAAATGGCCAACTGGGATTTTGACAGGGATTGCATTAAATCCACAGATCAATTTCGAGACTACTGTCTTCATAATTTGCGTCGTCTGATCCATGAACATAGGATGTCTTTCTATTTATTTAGTTCTGTAATTTCTTTTGACATTGTTACTGTAGTTTCCATTATATAAGTCTTACACTTGTCAAATTTATATATAAACATTTTATTCTTTATGATGCTAATATAAATAGAATTGTTTTCTTAATTTCATTTTTGGTTACTTCATTGCTATTGTTGTTGTTCTTGTTGTTACGTGCCGTTGAGTCAGTTCCGACTCATAGCACCATACGCATAACAGAACGAAACACTGCCCAGGCCTCCGCCACCCTCACAATTGTTGCTATGCTTGAGCCCACTGTTGCAGCCACTATGTCAAGCCATCTCGTTGAGGGTCTTCCTCTTCTTTGATGATCCTCTACTTTACCACGCATGATGTCCTTCTCCAGGGACATCATTATTGCTATTATATAGTAATAAATTGATTTTTTTATACTGACCTTGTATTCTGTAATCTTGCTGAACTCAATTAACAGTTCTAATAGTTTTTCAGTGGAGTCTTTAGGATTTTCTATATACAAGAGCATATTATCTACAAATAGAAATGGTTTTACTTCTTCCTTTCTAATCCAGGTGCCTTTTATTTCTTTTTTCTTGCCTAATTATACTGGCCAGACCTATAGTACAATGTTGAATGGAGCTGCAAGAGTGGACATCCTTGACTTGTTCTTGATGTGGGGGGGAAATCTTTCAGTCTTTTACCATAAGTATGATGTAAGCTGTGTTTTTTTTTCCCAGATGCCCTTTGTCAGGTAGAAGAAATTCCTTCCTATTACTAGAGTTTTTTGAGTGTGATTAAAATGAAAGGATGGTGAAGTTTTTCAAATGCTTCTTCTGTGTCTATTGACATGATCAGACAGATGGTTTCTGTCCTTTAGTCTACCGATGTGGTTGGTGTATTCTATTAACTGCTTTTCAGATGCTAAACCTGGGACAAATGCCACTTGGACACGGTGTACAATCCTTTCTGTATAATTCACTGGATTTCGTATGTTAGTATTTTGTTGAGGATTTTTATGTCTATATTCATTCATAAAGAATACTGATCTGTGGTGTCTGTGTGGTTTTGGTACCAAGGTAAAAGAGGTCTAACAGAGTGAGATGGGGAGTGTTACTGCTTCTATTTTTTGGAAGAGTCTGTAAAGGATTGGTATTAATTCTTCTCTGAAAGTCTGGCAGAATCCACTAGTGAAGCTATCTGGGACTGGTCTTCATTTGTGGCAAAATTTAAAAAAAATACTAATTCCATCTCTTTACATGTTATAGGTCTATTCAGATTTCTCTTTCTTCTTGATAAATTTCCATAATTTGTCCATTTCAACTGCACTACTGAATTTGTTGGTATATAGTTATATTCCCTTATAATCTTTTTTACTTCTGTGAGGTGGGTGGTAATGTCCTCTCTTTCACCGCTGATTTTTAGAAATTTGAGTCTTCTTTTTTCTTGGTCTCGCTAAAGTTCTGTCAATTTTGTAGTTATTTAAAAAAAACAACTTACAGTTTCATTAATTTTCTCTATTGTTTTTCTATTCTCTACTTCATTTGTTCCACTCTAGCCTTTATTCTTTCCTTCTGCTTGCTTGGCTTAGTTTGCTCTTCTTTTTCCAGTTTCTTAACGTGGAAGGTTAGGTTTCTGATTTGAAGTCTTTTTTCTTTAATACAGATATTCCCAGCTATAAATTTCCTCCTGAGAACTGCTTTAACTGAATCCCAGAAGTTTCGGTATGTTGTTGTTTTCATTTTCATTCATCTCAAAAGTATTTTCTAATTTCCCTTGTGATTTCTTTTTTGATCCACTGATTATTTAGGAGCATGTTGTTTAATTTCCATGTATTTGTGAATATTCCTAAGACTTTTTTCTGTTACTGATTTCCAATTTATTTCATTAGAGAATGAAGTTTCCGGAAAACGTACTTTGCATAATTTCAATCCTTTGAATTTATCAAGGCGTTTTATGGCCTAGCATATGGTCTATCCTGGAGAATGTTCTGTGTGTATCTGAGCAGAGTGGATATTCTTCTGTTGTTGGGTAAAGTGTTCTACAGATGCCTGTTGGGTCTGGTTGGTTTGCAGTGCTGCTCAAGTCTTCTAGTTCCTTGTTTATCTTCTGCTCACATGTTCTATCTCTAATTGAAAGGGATGTGTTGAAGTCTCCAACTATTACTATTGAATTGTCTGTTTTTCCCTTCAATTCTGTCTTTTTGCTTCATGTATTTTTGGGGTCCTATTGTTAGTTGCATATATAAGTTTATAATTGTTATATC